AATGTATATTACATATATATATATATATAAATATACATATATTTTAAATCATATATAAAAAATATATAAAAAACATATATAAAAAATCATTGGGAACAAGATTATTTGCCGTACAGAGTTCAACGTTTTTATTTCTCCAATTACTTCCCGAAATCTCATTGATGAGTCAGTGTTAGTGTTGAATTGGTTTCTTGCTTCAAATCAGATAATAAGCTTGGTCATAGTGACATTTTCCACTGTTTTACACAGCATTTACCAAATCCCCAAAGCCTTCAATGGAAACTTCCTAATGTTTGTTTTTAAGGAAATTATCTTGCACAATATTGCCAGTGTTACCATAGATGTCCTATGGCTTGTTCCAGATATGGATGCCTGTGAAATAGGACATGGCTGTCAACACATTTGTGTGAGCAGTGGCAACTCGTATCACTGCAAATGCCGCTCAGGTTTTGTCTTGAACGACGACATGCGAACATGCTCCATTAGAGGCGCTGGCGCTTACGGACATGGTGACAGTGTACACAAGGGTGACCGAAACAAAAAGAATGATGGCAACCAAAATGGTGAAGGTAGTGCTAGTGAGTTATGATCAGAAATGACTATGACTTAATTCATACCATTTCGTGATCTAAAAACATCAAATTAAATTCCATCAAAGCATTAGACTTAGTTTGTGATCAGATTGCTATTAATATTGTTTTAAAGAAATTTAAAGTTTGAAATTAATTTTGCAACACGTCCCAATGGACATTCTGAAACCCCCCACCTTTTGGTCGGCACTATGGCTTATTTCAGGTGTGGATTCCTGTGCGTTGGGCCACGACTGCCAACACACATGCATCTCCAGCGATTCCTCCTATTACTGCTCGTGTCCTCCTGGCTTTGTCTTGATGCAGGACAAGAAATCATGTTTTCAAGCCAGTGACGCTGATGGAGATGGTAGTGGCAGTGAGTTTTCTGCTTTAGACCTTCATAAATGGTATTGCTATCATACCATTTTATGATAGGTTTCTGTAGCGAGCTGAGAATTATGTTTGTCTTGTGGAATATTCTCTTAAGGAGAATTTTACATAACGGTGAACAATTAGAGCTATAAAATAATTTAGTTGTATTTTCTGTCATGTGTTGCTGAGATTTGTTAGCCTCAGGGCTCTAGAGTTTTAACTTATTGCAGGTCTGGACTACTGTGTGCTGGGTCATGAATGTGAACACATTTGTGTCAACGATGATGCTTCCTATCACTGTGAGTGCCACCGGGGTTTTGTGTTGCAAGAAGACAAGAAAACATGTTCCAAAAAACGTAAGAGTTTATAGAAGTACCATTCAAACATGTTTTCTGTAACCATCCACTTCATGTGCTGTGGGCAGGAATGATACCTATACGAAAAATGGGTAAAAATTCCAATAGACGTTGATACTGGAAATAATCCAATAGCCACTGAATAATGGAGAGAGAAAAAAATCAAACGAGCACCACTAAAAACATTAGTATTTTTCACATGATGGTATATTATGTAGTGGGCAATGCCTAACCATTAAGTCTTCTTGTATTATGTTCAAATTTATTTTAATGTTTTCGAATGTTTGAAGAACATCTCTTAATGCTCACCAAGCAATGCAATTATTTGATTTAAAAGAAAAATATATATATATTATTACAATATTTCTGTTTATGTTTTCTTGAAATGGCAAAGCTGAATTTTCAGTAGTCATTACTGCAGTCATGGTCATTCAGAAATAATTAAAATTAAAAAATTATATATATACTTTTTTTCTCTCATGCTCACCAAGGTTGCATTTATTTGATAAAAAAAAAAAAAACACTAACAGTAATATTGTGAAATACTATAGTTATTTAAAAGACCTGTTTTCCATTTATCCCTGTGATGGCAAAGCTAAATTACTCCAGTCATGATCCTGCAGAAATCATTCATTAAAATATACTGTAGTCACTAGAGAAACTTCATCTGTCAGTGTCTTGTAATTTCTGACATGTTGAGTCAGGTGATGCTGATTCAACATCGATGTAAACTCATAATATGTAACACTCTCACAATGTTGTGAGAAATTCAGAAAAGAACAACATTGCATAAACTGTGTTGAAAAGTGTTACATATTTGCTAAGAAACTTTCACTTTGTGCTTGGGGGGCGGGGGGTAGATAGTTTGCTCTATAATTACCCCTAATTCAAATCACCCTTTGCGAGGTATTTCTGTGATGTTTGTTGTTTGATTGTGATGTGAAGAGGTGAAGGTGGAGATCGTTCAGGACCCATGCATGTGTGAGGCCCGACTGGCTTTCCAGAGGCAGACACAAACCTCCCTACAGGACCTCAACGCCAAATATATCCTTTCGAAATAACATCACACGTCAATAACATTCTTCAGTTATGTATGAAGTACATTGGGGCCTTTAGTGGAACTACATTTCCCATAATGAATGCAATGCAAGTCATCTCTCTTAAAAGAATAATCCACACAAAAATCTTAATTCTAACATCATTTGCTGAGCTTTATTCCTTTTATATTTGTGTCTGGAAACAGTGTATTTCAAACCCTTTAACCTTAACAGTCGTTATACTTGCTGCTGTCACAAGAAAGGTTGAGCAAATGGAAAACATGCTGGGACGCATGTAACAGAGCAGTTCTTGGTAAGCATTGATTCTCTGACATGATTTATGATGATAAAACATTTAAAAGTTAGATTTTTACTTCTGTTCATCTGTTCTGTGAACTTTCAGCAATTACTGGAGTGGATATGAAGCACTAGACAACAAGACGGCTTCGGTTTCATCACTGAAACTTCATCACGGGCCACACTGATCACATGAATGGCTTTAAAACTGGATCACAGTGGCTGATGTTCAGATGATGTTTCTTAACATGTTCACAAAAACAAAAAAAATAATATTAACCCTATTCAAATAGTAATTAATATTAATAAGAGATGAAATCATGCGTGAAGTGCTGCGATGTATGTATAATGATGTTCTTTTGCTCCCCAGAAATGGTCAAAAGAAATCTCTCCATTTAAATAGACTAAATTATACCACGTATTGTAACCAATTTTATTAAGGATCATAATCAAAGGTGTATTTTTTATTGCTTATGTTCATGTCAAAGAAAGAATGTTCATATTTGTATTGTTTAATCTTATGTAGACTCTCATGTATACAGTTAAAGTTAAATAAAGACATTTATAACCAAGCAGTAATATTCATTATATTAAAACTTGAAATACTTTGAATCAACAGTCTCAACGTCTCTTTGTTCATAATATTTGCCTTATTTCATAGCTCACAGTGTACTGAAACGATACAGGCGTCGCTATAGAAATCATCTAAACGTAGTTCAGCTAGACAGACTATAGGTGTAACAGTAAGATGTGAAGAACTTGTCTGTCTGCAACCACTGTGAGATGTGCTTGAATCAATATCTCGACCATTACAGACCAACTGTAGACCTTCAGACTAGCCGTTGACTAAACATAATCGTATAATCACTGGCCAGGTGAACTGCACGAAAACATGTTCTTGACAAGCTTTGTGAAATTCCCCTGATCAGGATATTCATCTATTTAATCACACATGCTATACAAACATTTGAACATCCCACAAATTCAGGCAGACAGAGAACATCAAAATCCCTCTCATCCCAAATCCCATCTCAAATCGATTCACAGCCTACAGGAATTGGGACATTTTCAAGATCACATCAACTGATATTTCTCAATCACCTGTTAAAGCTAACAAAGAAAGTATTCATCTGGTTGCAAGGAGATGAAATGAAAGAGATCTTTAGGAGAGGGGAGATCAGGACTGTTCAAGGCTTTGCTCACATGAGACTTCAACGTAACATGTTAATTCTCACAGCAAACACCAATATTTGGGTCATAAGGGTGAGCAAAGATCATTAGATTCGAGTTCTCCAAGTTCACTGAAAACTAGGTGACGGTGCACCAGGCGCCATTGGTGCACTTGAAACTGTTCACCTCTTAAAACCACTCACAATTCTTTTTTGAAATAGGCTCTACAATATTTCTGCTGTCTTGTTTTTGACTGGCACACTGTGGTGGCCATGAATGACCTGTATTCTCTTCAAAGCATTCCCAGTGTTCACATTTACCTTCCACCTGTCTCTGAAACCATCTATTCTGTCATAGACTGGGCGAAAAACAGGTCTGGTAAATATTTTCACATCCTAACCTCAAGGTAAGCAAGGAGATGAGAAATTTCCCAGCAAATCACCACAGTTAAAAAAGGTTAGGTATGTCCATCATTAAAAAAGAATGGTATGCTGAAAGGCAGTGCATATTGACATACCCAGAGGTGAATTTCTGTGCAACGTTTGTTTTTGTGATTATGAGGACATGGGGAGTAACGCTAGACATCTTACAGGTAGGCCTATATTTGCGCTTTATGTAGAATTAGCAAAGTAATACAACATTAGTTGCAATATTTATGCAGTAGGCCTATGTATGGTGCATTTCCTGTAAGTTATTTTGATATGGTAATCACTGCATATACCTACTTAACATCTGCGTGGCTCTGGCACAGTAGACTACTGTTTTGTACGGGTAAACCTGAGTGCGATACAAACAACTGTTTATTTCACATGTTTACATTGTAATAAATACATAAAGTGAAAATGTATTTTGATATAATCTTCAACTAAATGTTATGATACAAAACTAAATGACAAAATCAAATAGGCTAATGGTAGCCTAACTAAAATGTTTCATATTTAGCTGCAGAGGATTTACCTTGACAGCATTCCATCATTTAATGTGGCGCTTTGAAACTGTGCTTGGTAATTTTATTTAGCTTTTGAGCGCTAATTATTACGCTCCGGCTCAGAAGGGTGCGCTCGCGTACCACCAGTACATAGAACTTGGCAAACTATCTAATTCTCATGAATATTAATTAGGTTCAATGACTGGACGTTCCAGGAAAACGTAAAACAACGTCCATACGCACTAATTAATATGCATGAGCTGATTATCGCCAGTAGTAGTGCGTCTCATGGAGGACAGCGAGCTCATGATCCTACAAAAAGCACATGACGAGTTCAACAGTAAGAATTATAAACCAGCAGAGGAATTATACACACAATTCATCGAGTCCTGCACCAAATCCAGGTATTAACGACTGTAAGTTTATTCGAATAAATTAGTCAGGAGGACAGTGGTGAACATCAGCACAGACTGCATGTAAACTGTCAAGCACAGACGATTGCTTGCCACCGTGTTGATAAATTAAGATCATATTCACATGTTTTCGCTAATAATCACATTTTATGTTTATCTAGAGACTGCAGTGCTCATGATTTGGCCATTGCCTATAATAACCGAGGGCAGGTGAAGTATCTGCGGGTGGATTTTTATGAAGCCATGGATGACTATACCTCTGCCATACAGATCAACAGCCAGTTTGAAGTGCCACTTTATAACGGGATTGCTACGTTACAGATTGGGTAGGTACTGGGGCTGTCAAAATGACTGAAAAACTAAATGCGAGTTTTCTACTTAAATATTATCAAAATTCGAATTATATTCGAATTTAAAAGGCATAAGTTCAGTTAGGGGAAAAAAAGCTTTTGGCTTCTCTCCTGAGGCCACAAAAGGGCGCATCGAGCAAAATATTATGCACTTTTCTTCAAAGCGTAATAAAATAACACGACTATCTTTGGAACAAAAGTGCATAATGTTTAAAATAATGTTTATAAACCATATATAATTAATAAAGTTGCAATTAGAAAAAAAAACAGCACCATGCTTGTATGTATAGTTTAATACAAAGGACCGAAAACCAATCACAAAGAGTAGGCTACTTTCTTCATTTAAAAACATGAGATACAGTGGGATGGGGAAAACCGCCATAACGTCTTTAGACATGTTTTTTAAAGGGGTCATATGATGCTTTTTTAAAGATCATTATTTTGTGTATTTGGTGTAACAGAATATGTTGACATGCTTTGATGTTCAAACACCACATTATTTTTCAAATACTGTACATTATTGTAGGTCCTCTATGCCCCGCCTCTCTCAAACGCTTCGTTTTCTACA